ATATTTGTGAACACATTTAAAGTTTCTGTGCATGATTAGATGACACCTCCCTACCTCATAGTAGGACATGGTGGAGACGGCTGCACTCCTTCGTTGAGTGAAGCTGAGATTTCTGTCCACAGAGGTTAAATAGCTGTTTACATGCTCCTCCCCCCACACTCCAACACATCTGTGTTCCTGCTGAAACGTTTTTCCTGTTTTCGAGGTGTCAGGTGCTGATATCTATCACAGGATACCGCAGTGTGTGCGCGCACTGTGAATTGTTTTAGCCCTGAGACCTCGGGTTTGTGATAATCAGGTCCTATTGGCCATAGGAAAGGATGTTGATGAGAATCGGACAATAAATAACGTGTCAGTGTTTGTGTGTCTGCGTGCAACAGTAACACTCTAAGCTCCATTCTTAGTTAAATCAGGGCAAGCAGCAGGAGTATCTCCGCAGACTGTGAATATACTTGTCCTGTTTGCATCACTGTCTCATATAATACATGCAAGGAGCGTGCACACTGAGGGCCGATTGATTCAGAAGATGACTATCGTGGCTTTTCAGCCAAGTTCACCAGACAGTCTGCCTCTGATCTTTGAATGTCAATGAAGCGAGAGGTGGGGAACACATCCCTCTGGAGTCTCTACTATAAACAGCCATTATTTTAATTTTTTATTTTAAGGTATTTAGTTTGTTTTTTTGTTTGAATCCACAAGAAAAGAGAAAAAAAAATACAGAATTAAAGCAAACTCACAATCAGAATGTGTCAATGCTTTAAAACACTTTCAATCAGCCCCGTATAGCTCCTTGGAAGGGGAAGCTGTCAAACAGGTTAACTCACTGACGATATAGTTGCTAAACCGAGTAGGACTATTCCAGTTTTTAGAAAGTATGCAATCTTTACAAAGTATTACAGTCTTTTGATGATGGCTTGATTACTGCATAGTTATTTGGTCTGCTGCTTCAGGAAAGACCTGGTTATGCTCCAGCTCAGTCAGAACGGAGCTGTGTGGATGGTGCGGGTCGCCGGCGTGCCAGGCTGTCATGGATGCAGGTGGAGGACAGGCTGGCATGTAATCTTGTCTTTAATATAAGAAACATTTGTGTACTGAGAAGGCCTAAATACTTATATTCACAGTTAACATGAGAGGCTGTGTCACACATGCTTTCATGGGACGTTTTGCTTATCTTTGCCTAAAATAAACGTGTTAAAGAAAACCAGCGTTTTAGCAGGTTATGTCACTTCCCATCTTTATTCAGTATTTAAGTAAGTATTTAAAGTAGTATTTAAATATTTAAAAGAAATTAGAAACAGCAGCTTTAAAGAAGGAAATACCTTTGGCCTATACTGGCTTATTTATCTGTGATGACTGATGATGATTGTATAATGCTGGCTTAAGTATGGCTTTGCTGTCCCTGCATTCATTAACTGACTGTGTCGGTAATAGTTTGTTAA